TAAAGCAGTTTAGATGTTTGTATGACCATTATCTCTTTGGAACAGTATCACATATTATTTATTTATATATTTATTTTATTTTTAATTGCGATTTGGGTGAAAGTTTACAGAGCAAATTCACTTTCCAAACAGCAGTTCACAGACACTTTGTCTCATGACGTTGACTACAATTTACCACAATGCAACAGCTCCCCTCCAACTTCCTCCTGATAGTTACCTCTTCCGTGTCCATCCTTCCATGCACTCCTGCCCCCTGAGCTATCTCCCTGTGCATAAACAACCCTTCTTTCTCCCATGATTGTTTTCTCCAAGGAGTGTATCTACCTCAGGTAAATGTTCAACTCATGTGCCTGTCTTTTGTTTGGCTGGAAGCCACAGGTGTGGGTTCATTCTTCATTCCAGACCTGAAGGGCAGCTAGCGGCCATAGTCTCAGTGGTTCTACCAGGTTCTATCAGACCAGCAAACCTGCCCCCTCCCTTTTTTTTTCCAAATGATTTTGAGTTTTGTTCCATATTGTTCTCCCTCTCTATCCAGGCTCTCCTACATAGATCCCCTTCCAAGTGATTGACAGTGGTAGCCAGCCACCATCTAGTTCTTCTGGTCTCATAGTTGTATAGGTTGCAGATCACATGGTGTCTCAATTGCTAGGACTAATTGTTTCCATGAATTTTTGGTTTTCTTCATTCTTCTTTGCTCTGGATGAGGAGAGACCCATCATTGCATCTAAATGGCTGCTTGAAAGCTTTTAAGATCCCAGTTGCTACTCACCAAGGTGGGAGCTCTGGTAGCATAGTGCCTAAGGCACTTGACTGCTAACCAGAAGGCTGGTGGTTCAAACCCACCAGCCACTCCTCAGAAGGAAGGTTGGGCAATCTACTTCCATAGTAATACCACCTTGGAAACCCAAGGAGGGGTCACTATGAGTCAGGTCCGACTCGACGGCACATAACAACAATAACTCATCAAAGTAGGAGGTAGAATAATGTTTTGTGTAGTATGTGATGCCAATTGAGCTTGATGTCCCCTGCCACTATGGTCCTGAGCCCACAGGTTCAACTACTTGCCCCCTCTGGGCAGCTGGCTGTGACCTAGAAGTGACTACAAACTTGGCCCTTGTCAGCTCTACTATAAACCTAGGAATTCAGATCATACAAATACACTTATAGGACCACTGTCTACCAACTCTGTACATGGTCTTGGGTACACTCCCTGCTTCATAGACATATCTACTAGTTCAGCCTGTCCACTCACCTATCCACCCAAACACCCCTGTTTGCCTTCACTGACAATGCAGTATGGTATGAATATCACATATTATTTTTATAAATTAATACTTTGCCCTTAAATTATACCATTTGATCTTCACAAGAAATCTATAAGATTAAAAAAAAAAAAAAAAAAAAAAACCACTGCCATCAAGTCGGATCCGACTCATAGTGACCCTTTCTTGGGTTTCTGAGGCAGTATCACTACAGAAGTAGATTGCCCAACCTTCTTTCTGAGGAGTGGTTGGTGAGTTTGAACCATCAGCCTTTGATCTTCACAAGAAATCTATGAGATAAGTATTATTATTTCCACTTAATGGAGAAGAATCTGAGCTGAGAAGTGAGGTAACTTGCCAGATGGCAAGGCAAAGGTGGCCTGAGACTTCCCTCTACCATGTCTCACTCAAGGCCTCCCATTATGGCATCACAAATGGGTGGCAACTGGGAGTCTGATGAGTTAGAGGATCCTCCTACCCAGTCAAGGGAGAGACTGGGTGTTTGGAGGTCCAGACCAGCTGAGTAGGGCACAAGGTCAAGATGCCCCTTCATCAGCTAAGTATCAAGCAGGAAATGTGATCCAGCATCTCGAGAAGCTTAATCAAAAAGCCAAGCCAATCATCTAACTCAGAGATTTTCAAGGTATGGACCGGAGCCAATGATAGGCCATGAACATCCCCCTGATGTTTCACAAACTGATCCTAAAATATAAGTAGTTTTTTCTTTAGATCTTACTAGAAAATAGACCTTGAGTTCTTCCATTTTCATTTTGTATATGTACATGTGTAGCCAAGAGCTATTTACTAACACACTGCAAAATACTTAGGGTTAGTAGTATTTGGTATTAACAAGCAAAAATTTAGCACATAAATAGTTTACTGAGGGCTTAATTGAGTATTCACCTGGCTACTAGGCAATGTTTGGCAAAATTTGCAAAGCTCCCACTGTAAATACATGGGTGGATTGTTGAAATAGCCTAGATTTTCTGGAAGATTCCTTTGTTTTCAGTATCAGTACTGTCTTGAGTTGGTTGCAAGTTTTTAGTAGCTACTATTTCCACTATTTAGTTATACATAGGCTTCATTTACCTTCATAGTGTTGTGCCCAGATTATGAATCCCCAAAAACCACCAAGGAGCCGATTCCACTGCAAAAGCATAGGGGTTGTTTATTCAAGCTTAAGCTTGGACCCTCAACCATCACTGGCACAATGGTTCAGGACTGGGAGCCCTGAACTCAGGGGTAACAGGATTTTTATAGGGGTTACAGCAGAAATGAGGAAGTTTCAATCAGAAAATTACAGGATTGGTTGACATTTTTCAAGTTGCGAGTTGTCCCTACTTGATTGGCACTGTCCTGTGGGCTGAGGCCACAAAATGCCGTTTCTAGCTATTTTAGGTATTGGAATTTCAAGTATTTTCCTGCAATCTACTGATTGGTTGTTGCTAGGGGTTATCTATGGGGTGAGGGTAATCACGACTTCAGGTTCCTTTCTATTGTTCACTGATTGGTTGTTGCTAGGAGGTATCTATGGGGTGAGGGTAATCAGGACTTCTTGTGATTTTTCCGGTAACTAGAGCGTGGAGTAAATGCTAAGGCACATTATTGTAAAATGGCTATATACAGAATATTTTATGTAAAAACATGTTCTCACATTCCTCCCTTTCTCTTGGTACTAAACTCAATCATGAGTTTGCTGAGTGTTATTATATATTTGGTTATAATGTATCGTACTAACACCTGAATCGTCTTGGTGGAGTAGTTGATATCGTTGCCGGAGGACCATGAGTTGTACAGAGTTTACTCTATCTTTTATAAAGTTGACTAATCTGTTTAGAATACAAGGTCAGCAAAATTAGTCCCATAATGACTGGTCCTGCGAGAGCAGATAACAGAGATGTTAGCCAAGGAGAATTAAACCAATTTTCATACCATCCCTGGTTTTGGGCACGCTCTCTTTTTCTTTTTTCTAGTCCTTCTCTTACTTTAGCCATGCAGTTTTTTATGACTCCTGAGTGGTCTATATAATACCAACATTCCTCTCCTAGAGCAGCACAAACTCCCCCTTGTTGTTGGAAAAGATATCCATACCGCTTTTTAATTGTAAGGTTAGTTCAGCTAAGGAGGTTAGGGATTCTTGGAGTTTGGTAATGGATTCTTCTAGTCTTTCTATATTCTGATCAATTGCTGCTCTAAGTGAGTTATATTGTTGATGCTGGGTTACAATATATGCAATTCCTGTTCCAGCTCCTGCTAGTCCTAATCCTAATAAAGCAGTTAAAGTTACAGCAGAAACTGATTCCCGTTTGACTCGGTGGGGAACAGTTTCTCATTTATCTAGAAAATCGTCATATTGGTGGTATCATACATGAGGTACTAAGTAGACTAATACACAAAAGTCCTTGGTTTGTTTAAGAACTTGCCCATGGAGGCAAGGGGATAATCCCAAGGAACAAGCCCACCATCCGTTGGGGGGTGGTATGTAATACACAGTTTGATTTATGGTTGTTTCAGTGTGGTTGCAGAGGTGTTTGTGAGTTTGTGGAATCTGTCCTACGCAGGTCCCTGTCCCTGTGACAGAAAGTAAGATGAGTTGTCCAGGTTTCCTATGATTCCATCTACAGGTTTTGTGAGTTTCTGACTGGTTGAATTTTCCTATAAATGCAATACCTTCATAATAGGGGGGTTTGATATCATAGCACAGCCAGCAGGATTCTGTTAAATTAGATTGGGTTAGATTCAATAGTTGGAAAGTCTGGACCATAATTTTCCAAAGGGGGTCTTCCTGTAAATTTTGGACTGATGTGTTGCCCCTTGAAGGGGTGACATGGGGAGACGAATTTTGGACTGATGTGTTGCCCCTTGAAGGGGTGATGTGGGGAGACAAACTTTGGACTGATGTGTTGCCCCGATTATTGAAGGGTAGAGAGGGTACTGATTGTGGGGCTAATACTGGGTTGGGCCCGATTGCAATGGGAGGTGTCCAAGATTCAATTTTTAATCTAACATTGAAAATGACTCCACTGTCGTACCCTCTTTGGTACAATTGAAGCCCCCAGGATCGGCCTGTCACCCAGGTTTTATACCGTTTTCCCTGTTCTGTGAATCGAACTCTAATGGGATTACAGGTGAAATTCATACACGGACCACTTCCTGTATACATGCCTCCCGTGAGTCCGACTTGTCCATATTTAAATCGGCAATAATTGATGATTAATCCGTCACCAGAATGATTCCTGTCTACTGTGATGAGATCCCAAGTTGAGGAAGGTTTCCAGTAAGTGGTTCCCGTCGTTTCACATCCCCATGCTTTACAATAAAAGTCTGGTACCCCCCAAAACTGGTTTTCTAAGGCTCTGTCTCTTCCTCCCCCTGGGCAAACATAAAATGGTAACTTACGGAGTTCATGGCGGAGTCCGGGGTGTCCACAACCCATTCCCCAGCCATTGATTCCCCCAGATGCACATGACCACTGGCATGTGGGTTTGCCTGAACATTCAGGAGTGCCGTTTTTGCTGGGTTCCCAATCTAAGATGTCCCAGGATCTGGCCGCTAATTGGCATAAGTCAAAGTGTAGATCAGGCCACCAGGTCATAGGGGGTGCAGTATGTGAGATGGAGTTGACAATATCCCCCGTGGCTGATGTGATTATCCAAGTTAACTGTTGGGGGGTGTGAGGGTTAGAAGAGGAATTTACATAATTACCAGCTATTATCAGTAATACTAGTGAGGTCCACATCATTGAATTTTCAGCTTGAGTGGGTTATTGGGGTCCTTGGAGACATGCCATTTCTGGTCAGGGACAGGATTGGCTTTGCGGGCGTGCGTATGATGAATCCTGGAGGCTATTCCATCGACCTTGAGGGTGGTGGGTGTGGTCAGGATTACAATGTAAGGTCCTTTCCAGCAAGGTTGTAGAGTCTCTTGCCGATGTCTCCATACATACACCCAATCACCTGGTTGGTACTGGTGAGGTTCGGGAGGGGGACTAGATTGGCAGAGGGACCTTAAGCTCGGCCAGATGTCTTGCTGGGTTTGTTGCAGGGCTTGAAGAGAATAAATGAGTTCATGATTATCAATATCAAGTAACAAATCGGACTGGAACCTGGGAGTGATAGGTGGAGGTCTACCAAAGACAATTTCAAAAGGTGTTAATCCTAATTTATAAGGAGAGTTATGGACCCGAAATAGGGCAAAGGGGAGGAGAGTCACCCAGTCTCCGTCAGTCTCTATGGTTAATTTGGTTAAGGTCTCTTTTAGAGTTCTGTTCATTCTTTCTACCTGGCCTGAACTTTGGGGTCTGTAAGCACAATGTAATTTCCAATTAGCCCCAAGAATAGTTGCTAAACCCTGTATTATCTTAGATACAAATGCTGGTCCATTATCTGATCCTATCATAGTAGGAAAACCATATCTGGGTAGGATGTCTTCTAGTAGTTTCTTGGCTACAACGTGGGCCATTTCTCGCTTGGTGGGGAAGGCTTCCACCCACCCTGAAAAGGTATCTATAAAGACTAACAAATATTTATATCCATATTTCCCTGGTTTTACCTCTGTGTAGTCCACTTCCCGGCAAGTTTCTGGTGTGCTGCCTCTTGATCTGGAGCCTAGATTCGAAGGGTTTTTAGTAACATTGGTTAATTGGCAGGCTTTACAATCAGAAACAATTATTTCAATTTTAGATTGAGCATTTTTAATTATCACATTGGCCCGTTTTAGTAAATCCTGCATCTTTTTGGTTCCTAAATGAGTGGTCTGATGTATTTTGAATAAAATTTCTTCTCCCAGTTTTTTGGGAAAGATAGCCTTGTGATCTGCTGATTTCAACCAGTTGCATACGTACTGAGTTCTGGGTAGTTGTTTAATCCATTTCAAATCTTCTTCAGTGTAATTGGGGTTCGTAGGTAAGGTGGGGCTCCTGGGATCAGGCAGATTGGAGGTTAGTACTAGGTTAGTAGATAGTGCAATCTCTCGAGCAGTTTGATCTGCCAAATTATTGCCTCGGGCGACAGGGGAGGTGGTTTTCTGGTGCCCCAAACAATGAATGATGGCAAGTTTCTTTGGGAGCCATAGGGCAGCTAGTAGATCGAGGATCTCATTTTTATTTTTAATTGTCTTTCCTTCTGCAATTAACAGGCCCCTTTCTCGATAGATCGCTCCATGAATATGTGCCGTGACAAAAGCATAATGACTGTCTGTATAAATATTTAATTTTTTATCTTTTCCCAAAGTTAGGGCTTTGGTCAATGCTGTTAATTCAGCTCATTGAGCTGACGTTCCGGCCGGTAACGGCCCAGCCCAAATTATTGCAGTTTCCGTCACTACTGCTGCCCCCGCATACCTTAGTCCATCACGCACAAAGCTGCTCCCATCCATATACCAGGTGACCTCGGCATCTGGTAAGGTTGTGTCTTGTAGGTCAGCTTGGGTCCCGTGCACTCGAGCCAGTATGTCAGTACAATCATGAAGTGGATCTTCCAGATCCGGATCCGGTAGCAAAGTGGCAGGGTTCAGTGTTGTAGGTGACTGAAAGATAGTCTTAGTTGGGTTCAGTAACAGTCCTTGATAGTGGGTGAGTCGTGCGTTGCTAAGCCATCAATCGGAAGGTTGTTTAAGAGTTCCTTCTATGGCGTGCGGGGTGGTGGTATATAATGTTTGTCCCAGTGTAAGTTTACCCGCATCTTTAATTAGTAAAGCTGTTGCAGCTATTATGTGTAAGCATGGGGGCCACCCTGCCACCACTGGGTCTAGTTTCTTTGATAGATAGGCTACTGGTCTTTTCCAGGGGCCTAGGTGTTGGATTACAACTCCTTTCGCTACCCCCTTATTTTCATCAATGTATAGGTGGAAGGGTTTTGTTACATTAGGTAATCCAACGGCCGGAGCAGACAAAAAGGCAGTCTTAAGTGAATTAAAGGACTTTTCCATAGTTTCTGCGCACTGAAATTTCTGCCCCTCCCTGGTTGCTTCATAAAGTTGTTGTTGTTATGTGCCGTTGAGTCAGCCAGCCCTGACTCATAGCGACCCCTCCTTGGGTTTCTGAGGCAGTATACTATGGAAGTAGGATTGCCCAACCTTTCTTCCGAGGAGTGGCTGGTGGGTTTGAACTGCCAGTCTTCTGGTTAGCAGTCAAGTGCCTTAGCCACTATGCTACCAGAGGCTTCGCTAATTTTGCAAAACCTGGTATCCAGAGTCTACAATAGCCGGCCGATCCTAGGAACTCCTGCACCCCATGTGGGGTGCTAGGTCTAGGGATTTTTAGCACAGTCTCCTTGCGGGCCCTAGTCAGCCATCTTTGTCCTTCTTTTAACATATACCCCAAATAGCTCACCTCGGGTTGGCAAAGTTGAGCCTTTTTGGCTGAGGCTCTGTAGCCCATGTCTCCTAATGTTCGGAGTAAGTCTCTGGTCCCTTGGAGACAGGTCTTGTAGTCTGCTGCAGCAACTAGGAGATCATCTACATATTATAACAGTGTGAGACCGGGGTGGTCGGATCGGAACTTACCCAGGTCTTCATGCAGCACCTCATTGAAAATTGTAGGCAAATTTTTGAACCGCTGAGGTAATCTTGTCCAGGTTAATTGGCCATTAATGCTTTCTGAGGGGTCTGCCCACTCAAAGACAAACAGGTCCTGACTTTTTGGGGCCAACGGTAAGCTAAAAAAGGCATCTTTAAGGTCCAAGACTGAGTACCACTGGTGATCTGGGGTCAGAGAACTAAGGAGGGTGTATGGGTTAGGAACAGTAGGGTGAATGTCTATGACCCATTTATTGACCTCTCGGAGGTCTTGTACCAGTCTATAATCGTTGGAATGAGGTTTTCGAACAGGAAGTAGAGGGGTATTCCAAGCGGACTGACAGGGTCGGAGTATTCCTAATTTTAACAGGTGCCGGATGTGGGGGGTTATGCCTTCCCGGGCTTCTCGTGACATAGGGTACTGGCGGACTCTGATCGGGTCTGCTCCAGGTTTAACTTCCACATAAACCGGTGGCCTGTGTTTTGCTAACCCTACACCTCCAGTCTCAGCCCATGCCTTAGGAAAGGCTGATAACCACTATTTTATATTCCCAGACGGGGGAGGAGGGGGTTGCTGGTGGAGTCTATATTCATCTTCTAGGTTTACAGTTAACACTTGAATAGGTTGGCCCCTACTGTCCATAATGGTCGCCCCTCCTTTTTGGAAGTGGATTTGTGCTCCTATTTTGGTTAGTATATCTCTCGCAAGAAGTGGATAAGGGCATTCTGGAATTACCATGAATGAGTGGGATACCCGACCCACACTGAGATCCACTGTCCTTCGGGTAGTCCATGAATATTGATTTGTTCCTGTGGCTCCCTGAACCCAGGAGGTTTTATTAGACAGTTTCCCTTGGGGTTTAAGTAAGACTGAATGTTGTGCCCCAGTGTCCACCAGGAAATCAATTGGAGTCCCCTCCACTTTAAGGGTTACCCTGGGTTCGGGGAGGGGAACCGAACCCCGTTGCCCCTAATCACTGAGTTCCCCCAGTTCTAGTACTTTAGTCTGTAGTTTATGAGTCTTTTTATTTGGGCACTCTTTTGCCCAATGTCCATTCTCCTTACAATAGGCACATTGATTCTTACCCAGTTTAGGGCGTTCTCCCGTAAGGGAATCCCCCTTACCTCGGTATTTTGCAATTTTCTGAAGTTGTTCTCTTTCTCGGATGCTCCTGATTGTTGAGGCGAGTAGAATTTTTGCAAGATTCCGAGTGTTCTGGTCACTGGCTGCTGCTAGTGCTTTGGCCTGTCGGTCTTCTGGACTTTCCCTGTGATTATAAACTCTCTCTGCAACTAGCATTAAATCCTGAATACTTTTTTCATTTAATCTGTCAATTTTTTGTAATTTTCTTCTGATGTCTGAGGCTGCTTGATTTACAAAAGCCATGATTAGTGCAGCTTTAGTTTCAGATGCTTCCGGATCCATGGGGGTATACTGACGAGATGCCCCCATTAATCTTTCTAAGAAAGCGACAGGACTTTCATCCCTCCCTTGTTGTACGTCACCTACTTTAGCCAAATTGGTGGGCTTCCTAGCGGCTGCCCTGAGACCTCCCATTAGAGTCTGACGGAACACCTGGAGTCTCTCCTTACCTTCAATCATGTTGTAGTCCCAATTAGGATGGATTAAAGGGAAGGTGGCATTAATCACATCTATATTAGCAGTGGGTTGCCCGTTATGCCCCAAGACAGATTTCCAGGCTTCCATCTGGATCCTTTCATGTTCCTCGGTGGTGAACAAAATCTGGAGGAGTTGTTGACAATCGTCCCAGGTAGGCTGATGAGTAAACAAAATAGTCTCTAGGAGGTCAGTTAAATCTCTGGGATTATCTGAAAATTTAGCATTCTGAGTTTTCCAATTATACAGGTCACTAGTCCTCGGAAGGAAGGTTGGGCAATCCTACTTCCATAGTGATACTGCCTCGGAAACCCAAGGAGGGGTCGCTATGAGTCAGGGATGACTCGACGGCACATAACAACAACAGTAGCAAAAGGCCAGTAGTGAAGTTGCTGGTTGCCGGTTGCGTCAGCAGGCCCTGTGGCCCGCAACGGCAAGACAGTGGAATCTGCTGGTCCACTAGAGGGGGCCGTGCGCTGCATTCTTTCACGGGTTCTGCTGGCCGCCGGACCGGCTACTACTGCCATTGCCACGCCGTCATCTGGCACTTGGGGCAGCGCACCCTCTGCAGCTGCAATACCTGCTGAAGGGGTTTGATGGGGAGGGGGAAGGAGTTCTTCCTCTGTCCCACCCTGAAGGACTGGGTAGGTCGGTGCCGAAGGTTTAATTTCAGGTTCCTTCTTCCAGGCAGTATGAGTTTGTACTGCTAGGACAGTTTTAGGTGCCTGCTTAGGAAGAGAAAGAGGTAACAACGGCTTTAACCAAGGCGGTGGATTCTCTACTAAATCCTGCCATATGATAATATACGATCCCTGGTCCGGGTGCCCCCAGCTGGACTGGAACACAACTTCTTTCACCTTTAAAATAATTTGAAGATTGAACGTTCCTTCGGCTGGCCATCCCATGTTGAATATAGGCCATTCTGAGCTACACAATGTTACAAATTTTCCTTTTTTTATTTCTAAATTTAAGTCCTGTGCCCTCCTTCTAACTTCCTTGAAATTGTCAGTCAGAAGAGAAAGAGGAGTTGTCACAGTTTGTCCCATTTCGTCCATCCACTGATTAAACAAAACTAAGGACACTAACAAAAACCAAATAGACACACAAAAGACAAACAAAATATGCCTCCAGTAGATTGGAAGCAAAACCAAAAGTAGGACGGCCTCACGCCGTGCTGCAGGAGCGACCTGCTTCCACCCTTTACAGGTTCCAGATTGGAGGACAACTTTACTTCCTCCCCAGGTTGAAGGGGTTTTCTAATCCCCTTCCAGAAGAGGCCCTGGAACGTCTTCCAGGTCCCCTGGCTGACGGCCCACCCGTGCATCCACTTAGGCCAAAGTCAGCCGTGCAGAAAATGGGCCCCAGGTATTACACAAATAACTTAAACAAACAACAAACATTTAAACACTTACCAGCCGGCCGCAAACCCCTGGTTCGGGAGTCCTGGGGTATCTGGGGATCCCAGACGAGTCCCCAGATGTTGTGCCCAGATTATGAATCCCCAAAAACCACCAAGGAGCCGATTCCACTGCAAAAGCATAGGGGTTGTTTATTCAAGATTAAGCTCGAACCCCCAACCATCACCGGCGCAGCGGTTCAGGACTGGGAGCCCTGAACTCAGGGGTAACAGGATTTTTATAGGGGTTACAGCAGAAATGAGGAAGTTTCAATCAGAAAATTACAGGATTGGTTGACATTTTTCAAGTTGCGAGTTGTCCCTACTTGATTGGCTCTGTCCTGTGGGCCGAGGCCGCAAACTGCTGTTTCTAGCTATTTTAGGTATTGGAATTTCAAGTATTTTCCTGCTATTTACTGATTGGTTGTTGCTAGGGGTTATCTTATGGGTGAGGGTAATCAGGACTTTAGGTTCCTCTCTATTATTCACTGATTGGTTGTTGCTAGGGGGTATCTATGGGGTGAGGGTAATCAGGACTTCTTGTGATTTTTCTGGTAACTAGAGCATGGAGTAAATGTTAAGGCACATTATTATAAAATGGCTATATACAGGGTATTTTATATAAAAACATGTTCTCACAATAGTGATCTATATTGTTTTGGGTGGATTGTTTGGTTAACCAGGTCTTCATTTACCTTCCATAGTATCACTATGGAAGTAGATTGCCCAACCTTTCTTCCAAGGAGTGGCTGGTGGGTTTGAACTGCCAGCCTTCTGGTTAGCAATCAGATGCCTTAGGCACTATGCTACCAGAACTCACTGGACAGATAGGAATAATTTAGGTTAGTTTCAATAGGACAGAAAGAACTACAGGGCCCAGGAAAAAAAAAAAAAAAAAAGTGAGCATTTGAAGGAAGAAGAGGGGCAAAAACTGGGAGGATTTTTAGTGCTGAAGAAACAATGCTTGCAGTGTTTTTTCAGGTGTCTGTGGCTTCAGGCATGGATGGTGGGAAAGGAGCAGTTAAAATTGATCATGTCCCCAGGGCTGACTCGAAGGCACATAACAACAACAACAACACATGATGTCTTAGCTTTAAGTGATTTAGTAAGTCATGGTCATTGAGGTACTCCAGGAAGTCCTGGGATACTGCTTTTCCTTGGCTAATTGAAGGTGGCCACTTCTTGTCCTCAACAAGAGAAAATGGCTAAATGTTCTTAAGAATATCATTGAAATGCATTGAAATAGTCTTGAAACCTAGAGAAACATTCAATAATGTGCTTAAATTTTTGGTAAAAAAGAGCTTAGGTAGCAAATAGAATCTTTTCTATTTCTTGAAATGCCACCAAGAAAAATCTTCCAATACTGCAAAAAGTCCATCTAGAAGGAAAGTACCTATGTGGAGATGTTTTCCTATCCTGACAATCTTTGGGTTTGAATACAAGCAAGAGGAAATCATCTGGTTATTACTAAGAACTGAAACCTCCTTAAATGAAGCAGGCAAAAATAGAGCAAACCCTTTTTCAAAAAGCACATTTATAAATCTATCCTGGAACATAATTTCATGGATATTTCACTCCAAGCTTTCCATCATGGTCAATCATTCTATATGATAATTGTCTTCAAGTAAACATTACTAAGAGTAAGCTATCATTGAAGACACAGTATAAAATATTATTTAGTTTGGCTCTTAAATGTTATTCATCTTGGTTTTTTGCCTAATGACTACTGAGAGAGATGAACTGATGTTGTGCTGAACTTCACAAACACAAAAACTTGACTGAGTTCCTGTGCTCCTTTAAGAATTTGTACATTTCAAAACTGGTCAATGATAGTATTAATTATTACCTTTAATTTATTTACTCTTGTCGACTGTTCATTTTGTATGAATGAAGCTGAGGGTTGACTCATGCATGTCTCTAACAGACCAGCCATAATCCTATGGGACAGAGTAGTTGGGAAATTTCCACATGGAGATCCTTGAATTGTGTGGAATCCATTGTGTTTGTTTTCTAGTGGTTTATAACTCATACAAGAACAAATCATTTTCTGCTGGAAGATCAGGTAGAAGCCACATTGCTTAAAAAGCAAAAAAAAAAAAAAAAAAAACTGGAAAAACAAACAAAAAAACATGGTTCCCCATCTGTGGTTTGTGGAATTAAATTCCCAAGAGCTATGGCCAAGATTCATAACTTGCTCCCTTAAAGTTATGGGTGGCCAAGACTACAACAGCCATTGCTTTTCTGTTTTCTGAAGACCCCAAAGACATCAAATACAGAAGCCTTTGAAGGGTTAAGCTATAAAGCTGATGAGTACAGATTTTCAGACTCAGATGACGCAATCAGGGGAAAATACAATAAAAGCAGTATGCACTCTCATTTTTTCCCCCAAGATATTGTATGGTGCATTGTTTTGTTTCCTGTTTTGATTTGTAACCAGGGGCCAGCAATGAAAAATATAAATATAACAACCACCACTTTAGAATTTATAAACTGCATCCATACACATTAGCTTATTTGAGTTCCAAAACAATCATTATTATTAGACTCATTTTAGTACAGAGAACATTGAGTCTCAGGCAGGCTAATTCACTCATTCAAGGCAGCTAGTAAGGAGCAGCCTGAACTCCAAGCTTCATCTTCTGTCCCCAAAGCCTATGCATTTTATCAGCATCTTAAGATAAATGGTGTCCCTTTTTGATTTGACCTGCCACAAAAATTCAGACTGCTTTAACTGATCCCCAAACAGTGGGAAATTAACAAACTAATGCATCAATATACACCACCTATCTGTTGCTTGAAGAATCTAGAAGTCTCTTTCTTGGCTGACTCCATTATTTTTACAACCCATGAAAACATGACAAGCTAGACAGTACCATAATTTCAAGGTGATATTAACCTCAAAATCAAGTCAAGAGGTTTTTTTCTAGTCTAGAAACTATTACATCACTACTACATGTACTAGTACATTGTAGACATTTGTCATTCTTTGAGTAACCAGTTTAATTCTCCAGCACCCACATTTTCCTTTTGGATTATTGTTATGTTTCTTTTGTTTTGTGTATTTCCCTTTATGACTAGCTCTCCTAACATTCTGGTACCTTATTCAAAGGTTCCCGTGGGTAGCTAGTGCCCAAAGCAAGAATTTTAGGAAACTTCATGCCTCCTGATTATTGCAAAAACAAATATTTTAAAATTCTTTATGTGTGTATGTGTGTGTGTGAGAGTGTGCATATTTAAATTTCTCATAGCCAATAATGGATTCAAGAAAAAGACTCTTAGTATGTAGTCTGGAAGTTGTATTGCAAAACTTTTTTTAAAAAATAAAAATGGTATTGGCTACTCATATATGCAAGGATTTGGATAATTAAATTATGTAACAGCTTATTTCAGGGTTAAATCCCAAACCATCCTCAACAACATGTGTTGTGTGAACTATCTAGAGGCCTTGATCTAAAATCAAAACTAAGTTAAGTCCAGGGCTATATTTTAGGCTTGCCAGGCCCAAGACAAAGAAGACAAGGCATGGTTTACATAAAACTTTGTCCAGAGCACAGTGAGGACTATTTTAATCCAAACAACAAAACACCCTCTTTTGTTGTCCCCATCCAAATTCAAGTAAAAAAACTTGGAGAAACTTTTGTTCCCAAAATGTTACATCCAAGTGAGGGATTAGTCCCTTCGTAGATTTTTTTTCTTTTTTATCAACCAAGGAAGATGAATCTAAAAGGAAAACATCTTCTAGTTTTTTATCTTCTTCTTTTCAAGAAGTTTATGGAGACATCATCATATGGGAAAAGAAAATTCTGTTTCTAGCTGTAGATTTACCCTAGCAAAAAGACTGAAAAGACTGTTCAGAACAATGCTGTGGTATTTAAGTAGTGTGTCACCTTGGCTGGGCCTGATTTTGAGTGGCTGGGCAGCTGGATATAGTTATTCCCTGTCATAAGACTGGTAATCAACTCCGTGGTAGAATCCACTATGAGCAGCTGAGTAGCTGCCTCAAGAATGTGATCTTCCTGTATATAAGGAGAAGCTTTGGAAATGGTTGTAAGCTTTATGGCACATCTGGATCTTGCATTTGGCCAAGTCTTCGTCTTAGTGTCCTACCATATTGTCTGCCAATCTTGAGACTGCTTCTGGACTTGAACTGGTGGTCTGTCACGTTGCTTGGTAATTATGGGACTGTGCCATTTTACTTGTCAACCTTGTCAACCTCAGTAGCTAGTAGCTGTCTAAGTTAAGAGAAACCTCTATCTTCAGTGAGCTGGGAGCAAGAGGCAGATCTGAAACCCAAAGTCCTTTGAACTTGGACTTCTAGCCTCCTAACCTGTAACAGAATAAGCTCCTATTTGTTAAAGCCAACCATTTGTGGTATTTTCTGTTAGAGCTGCACTAGAGGACAAAAACAAATGCTATGCTCAATTGGATGAAGAGTTCCTCCCTCTCATTTTCAGTGCCCCCTGGCTTCACTCATCCCTATGACACTATTCCACACTCCCTTGTTCCTCAAGTTATTGAATCTAGAGATAAGTGAATTACACTAAGAGCAAAGGAGAAGGGGAGTGAGGGCAAATTCCTGGTTGTACATGGGGAGTCCCAAACATTGCTCACTATTAACTTATGACTTAAAACTAATTTTTCCCTTTCTTC